TAAGTATTGATGTAGTTTTAAACTATCTAACAGTTTAAAATAGCAAGTCATTTCATTTTGTGAAAGAACTGATATTTTTGATCAGAAACCCTTGCTAGCGAAAATGATACTTGTGATATAGTTGACTGTATAAAAATACAAAACTTACGTGTAACAAGTACTCAATAATACAACTTTATAACCTTATTTCCTATTTTTCCAGGGCGCTCATATCAGGAGCGATCGATATATTTGTGGGTGTATTAGAAAGTGCACATGGGGAAAGGAGATGTTGATTTTAATAACCGATAAAATATTTTTTTTTCCTGGTAACATGTATAATAATAATACATGTAATAAAAAAAGAAATGATTAAAATTTATTTTGAAAATTAAAAAGTTAAAAAATAAATTTATATTGAATATGCTTCGGCTGCGAATGGCACAACTAAAAATTTTTCGACACTTCACATTTAATGTGATGCCCATAAATGCGCCCTGCAGCAGCATGTTGATCAGGCGCAGTATGTAGAAATTATGTGGCGGATTTAATGCTATGCATCTTGATATCTGTAGTAAATAATAATGAATATGTTTGGTCACATTAGTTTTCATTGAACAATAGACAGTTTTGGTTTTAACATTTTTGTTTAAATGATTTCAAAATTTAATGGCGCATTTCTCTATCCATTGCATATTTGTTTGTTGTTTAACGTCCCTCCCGAGAATTTTTCACTCATATAGAGACGCCACCAGTTGCCGATAGAGAGCGGTAAATTTTAAACTATACTCGGCACTCAGGGACATTGAGCAGTGAGGGATCTTTTTCGTGCCAGCACTTACTGCGACACGGGGCCTCGGTTTAAATACGGTCTATAGACTATATGAAGGACCAGTCTCCACGTCCCACAGTGGTATTCGAACCCGCGGCCGCCATGTAAAATGATAAATAATTATTTTTAATAAATTCAATTTAATTATTCGTTTTAGGGTTGGGAATCATATATTCTTTGTCAGATTCTATCACAGTCTTATGCTGTGCGTGGATGCTTTTTTTCTGTATGAACTATCATGCTAATAGTAAATAAATAGCTAACTACATGTGTACACTAAGATTTATTTACATCTTTAATGAAGCTACAAAGCAGGCGACACATGCGTTCCTTGGAACACTCTAGACTTTCAAAGCAATTTGTAAAAATAAAATGCTGAACTACTATAATTACCTTTTAAACGGGTACCTGTAAAATGCGAAACGAAATAGAAACGAAACGAAATCAAAACGTAACCTAACGAAACGAAAACTACAGAAACAAAAAAAACGAAATAAAATCGAGCAAAATGAAATATATATATAACCATTATGATTTAAAATATATTATATAGTGTATATTTTAGAAGTAACGAGTCTCTTGTGATACCCAGTGAAAGATACAAAAGATTTTGCGCGTTTCTAAACGTGGTATTTGTAAGTATGGATTACACTTTTAAATAGATATTGCTCATTTTAGTGCAAAACAAACACATTAGACTGAGCCTATATATATATAACCCAAGTTATCACTTTCGGGTTCTTGTTAATACAGTCCATTTGTATGTATACTTGTATACGCAAAATCATTTGAATTCTTGGTCTGCTTTTGTCCAACCCCAAACTATATATCAGATCACTCACTTTCATAAACAGTAAATTAAAAGCGGAGGATAAGCAATTTTTGAAGAAATAATACGGTAAAATTTTAACATCAAATTTAATTTAAATTCAAAGCATACATTTATCGAAATTAAAATTCAATTTTTTTCAAATCTTTTGAACAATAAAATACCAATAGAAAGCCTCAGTGATAAGACTTTCAGAAGACCGAGCTAATACATGGTCTCCTCTCTCTCTTGACTACTATAATTATTATAATTTCAATGGATATGAACCAAAAATAAGTAATAAAGTGATAACGTTCTCATCAAATTTTAATATTTTTCCTGCTTAGACATCAACTCCAGTGGAGAGGAACTTTGCTTTTACCTCCTACGGTATAATTAATCTTTAGAAATAGCTAACATATCTTCTTTTAAAGTCTGGGAATTTTGGCTTTAAGGAGACGTTTTGCAACTGAAAATAAGAATGTTGTCACTTTTTCTTTTTATTCTCCTAAATACACGTACTCCCGTTTGCAATATTTTTTCATAACGAGGTTGTTTTGGGGCACCTTCAAAATTTTAATTTTATATAATAAACCAACGAAAACATAGGCCTTGAAACCACCAGGGGAGAGGGTCCTTCTCGGAACTACCTCTCAAAAAAAAAAGCTGGACCCGACAATAATCAAAAGTATAATAATAATTAGGCACTTAAATTATTAAGTTTAAAGACATTCGTAATACAACAGTACAGTAACTTTATTTCGATCCGTAAATAAACAAGCCTTTACGTGTAACACATTAAATTGTGAGAATTTTATTGTATTTCGATGATTAAGTGCTAAAAATAAGAGTAAGACATAAAAATAAGAGAATACTATTCCTATTTTGAAATTAGTATTTTGAAAATTATATAGTATGCTCGCGCATATTTGTAGCTGGCAGTTGATTAACAGTATATATATATATATATATATATATATATATATATATATATATATATATATATATATATATATATATATATATATATATATATATATAAGTAAACACATCACTAGAGAAGGGAGCATTTATCGGTGTTTAAATTTTATATTAACAAGTGCTTGAACTATATAAATGTCATATGAAGTAAAAATAGTCCATATGCAGTTACACATTGTATATAATGGTATACCTTGATTTGAAAAATATTCTGATAATTTTGTCACGTTAGGTTTCGTTTTTAGTTCGTTTCGTTTCGCATTTTACAGGTACCCGTTTCGTTTCGGTAGGTTTCGTTTTGTTTCGGTAGATTTCGTTTCGTTTCATTTCGTTTCGCACTTTACAGGTACCCTTTTTAAACAACGTCAAAACAGATATTAACTTGAAAGTTTATTTCGTTATTTATTGCAAACACAGTCAAACCATATTTTCACCGATATTCACAGAACATTTTTAAAAATTTATTCATTGGTCACTGTTGATGACTGGCAACTTCACAACTTATTCTTATGAAATCGCTCTGATGGAATTGCAAGAAATTTTATACTGTTAAAATTGAATGTTGTAGAAATTTTGCGCTATCATCATGCATACAGGGTGTTTCAGAAAACATGCAACCATTTGCTTTCCTCACGTTATTGGTATGCAAACAGAAATATATAAAAGTTTTATTTAAAATTATAGTAAATAGGCTCAAGGTTTTATTGATAACAAAAATTTTGGAAATAATTAACATTTTAATTAATTATGACGTCATATTTAACATCATTGAAAAACAGGTCATTTCATCTGAATATGGAATTTACTAAAGAGCAATCATCTGTCAATTGACACTGTTTTATCAAAGCATGTTGCTAGTTATTGTGATTAGGACAATATAGATAGGTATCCAGAATGCAAAGAACTTACTAAATAAAAAGTGGAAGTTGTACAAAATTGTTAAAAGTTTTGAATATAATGGAACTTTAATTATAAAAGAAAGGAAAAATTGGAAGAACGAAAACAATTAGAACACATGAAAACATTGAAAGTGATAAAGACGTTTATTCAGGGACTCGCATGAAATCCTTAAAAGTAAAATAACTGATCTTGTAAACGAATAAGACTCAAAAATGAGAACTCAGGTGTATATCAAATGCTGAAATATGATTTTAATCTTACACATTGGACTGGTTGAAACAAATATTTGGAGGACTATTTTTCTCTTCCAAATCCCAAAAACATTGGGCCTCGACATTCACCTGACTCAACCCCCCCCCCCCCCTTGACTTATATCTCTGGGGACATTTAAAGGTCACAGTTTATAAAACACACACCATCACAACATGAACTCAAAATAGTAAAAAAAAAAAAAAAGAGTCAAGGTTCATAACAAAGAAATTTTGTGCTCTAGTTATGGTTATGAGAAATTTCCAGCATCGATTACATTTATTCATTCAGCAAAACTGACGTCATTTAGAACATATTTTGTTACTAGGTGAAATTTTAAAGGTTTTCTTTATTCTTCCGTAACTCATTATCTATTTGCCAGATTAATTTTATTTTTACAAGAATAAATTTTGAAATTGTGCCTATTACTTTAACGTGTTGATGGATGGTATTGGATGAAACACGAGTAAAATATAACTGTTCAAAATGGTTGCATGTTTTCTGAAACACCCTGTATGTCATCACTGAAAAGGGGGAGTGGGTCTGATCACAGACATTCACTCCATTTTAATAACACACAGCGAATTAGTGTACAATGGCCATATAAACAAATACGATTTTTTTTTTTAAAAATCAGATTACAATTGCATATTATTACATGTATCAGAAAAAAAATCCTCGATAACAAATTATTTTCAAGAATTTGAAGCTTAAAAGAGAACTTTCTCTATTAATCACGTGTAACCAGCTCGATCTTATAGCAATTAAATGACTACTTGTCTAGTTGCATGACGAGTGTAAAATTAATACCATGTTTATTTGTAGACCTTATAAAATAGGCGATAACAACTGCAAACGATTAATCACCCATATCAGAGGAAAACAGACATTCTTGGAAGCCTTACCTTATGATTTGTATATATCAAAACAGAAACCATCTTAAGACGAGTCAGATAATGCGTGCATGGATGTGTTAGAGAAAATGAGAAATTCTATTAAAATCCCTGTACAGTAACAATAGAAATGTTTAAACGTTACAAGACTTTATTTCTAACGAGTATACACGCCCTGATCATGACATGCTTATCTGCAACCTTGGCTAGCATCTTTCTTTCAATATATCGGTTGAAAATCATTAAGAGCAATGAATATTTAGACCGTTTCTCCAAACTCGAGATTACTTTCAACCTGTTTATATTAACCATAAGTTAAAGAAGTTAATGGGGATCGGAATGCTATATTTCAACAAGGTCTAGGAACCACCTGACCCGCCGATCCAGCTTTGTATACACCTATCTACAGACGTAGCTGTACTGCTATTAAACATAGTGGAACCATTCCTTGTTCAGTTAAGTATAAGAAGGCGACATACGAGCGTATTGATCATGGCATCACAGCGATTCAATGCGGCTGCTCGCTGATTTCACCATCATAATTGGTTTCTACGAGTATTAATATACCATACGCATGGAATATTTGTGAGTTCGTAATATAAATTGATGGTCATGTTTTAACAGGGGGGTTGACAGTCCGAACTTTGGACATCACTCTGTAGACAAACTGATTTCAGTCTTAAAGGTTAACAAACAATGACATAGCGGGAAAAATTTGAAAAGGAAGTTCCGGATATTTGAGTTCTTTGAAAACCATGGGTTGTATAAATGCCAAAAAAAGAAGGAAGGAGGCCTTGCGACAAGGACTTGAAATTTCGTCATCGAAAAGAAAAACCTACCTGAAGACCAACGAGGAATCAGCAAACGGGCCCCCCTTCCACAGTCGGGACCCTGTCCCTCCAATACCAAACTTAACGGAGCGACAAAAAGAGCTGATAATGCAATCCTGGCAAAAAATACAGGAAGACATGTCAAAAGTAGGCGTTGTCATGTTTATGAGGTAATGCAATTTTTTACATATATTTTTATAATAAAATACTAAGTAATCTCTGATTTTTTTATCAGAGTGTAACGAATAAATTCTTTACGAAAATGTTGGCATTTCTTCACTTTCATAAAATATTAATTATGTGATCGCCGTCACAACGCTGGTAAGTAAAAACTAGTTACTTTACTGTAAAAATGTAGAAATCCAATTAAAATCAAAGTACAAGTATTTTCGTTATCTTGTATATCTTAAATAATTAACCTGAGAGAAATTAATTGCATGGCTTGAACGCTCCGAAATTCATTGTATGCTTCGAACAGAAAAGGGCAGTTTTTTTTGGAAATCGCTTTGTCTTCCTATAGAAATGACTCTTAATTATAAAAAAAAAAAAAAATAGAACAGATAAAGATACACAGGGTCGTAAAGGATATACAATTACAAAGAATTTACAATTTGAAAGATCGGATACTTTTCTACACCTTAGTGCAAATGAAATCCCACCAGTATTCATATATATATATATATATATATATATATATATATATATATATATATATATATATATATATATATATATATATATATATATATATATATATATATATATTAATAAAAGAAAGAGAGAAAGTTAAGTTCATTTCCAGGTTAAGCCTTAGGTATATTATACAACTTCCCAACAGAATTCCTTGTAATGCGATCAGGTTTACAATGTATTTAGATGCAAAGTTCGATTTTTTTTTATATAACATCATGCAAAGATGAGCAATCCACAGCTAAGAATACTCATCTTGTAAATAAGTCAAAATATGCTGTCTTTCCTCGTAGTCACCTATAAGACAGTATTGATCTACACATAATTAGTTATTGGACAGATTTACTGATCATAAATATTTGCGTTGAACACGGGGTGTTTGAAGCCTTTTTTATGAACGTTCCCACTGTTCAACCATGTTCTTATATTACTAATTATATATTGTTATTTGACTTTGCTGTCCATATTCTTTTGATGTTAGAAAGCGTGATGGTTCTAAGGATGTTATAGCTGTAAAAGTTCGTTAGAAGGAAAACAAAGGCACAGTATGTGGTCATCAAGCGTAACAATTTGCTACCAGGAAAATGCAGCACTGAAAAGATGTTGTTTTAACAGGATTTCTGTATCATTGCGTTTGTGTCACATTTCCTTTGATGGCGAGAACGATAGAAATAGACAAGCTTGTTTACTAGAATCAAACGTTCCAGAGTGATCTTAAGTTGATTTTAAACTGTTGTTACAGCCACTCTAAAGTTGCCAAAAAGTATTTACTGAACTAGAAAGTAACAGACCAGACACATTTATTTTCTAGCAACAAAGAAATCTCTTAAAATATAAATTGTGTACTTATTGCAGAAGCCCTGCTGAACAAAACTAGGAATTGTGAGTTTCCGTCCTCCGTCCATCCTCAATGAGCGTTTTTTTAAACAAAATGAATTCCAAAGCCAATCTTTTTTGAGTAGATATCAATTTCAATTTTGATGTTTATTTGATTGATCTGAGAGCACGTGGTTCTTTCTTGTTTTATTTAATACATGTTTCATTCAAAATCATATAATACGCATTATGAAGCCGCCTTCGTGTCTAATAAAAAAATACTTTGGTTCTATTCTCACCAGCAATCAACAGCATTGAATTCATTGTTTTTGTGTGGAAAATTGAAATTTTAATTTTACTCGAATAGTGCGCTCTTAAAAATCTTCAAGAAACAACAAATTATAATGCAAAATGCATGTTCTATCTATTTGGGTAGATCAGACATTTATTGAAAAAAATTAACCAAACTAAAAAAAGGGGGGAGATAGTTAGCAGAAAAGAAACCTAGCTTATATCTATATATAAACTCCAGCGAGTTGCATTTAATTAGCAAAAGTTTATTTATAAAACAGTAAGAAAGAAAAAATTTATTCAATTGTCAATAAAATTAAATGATTAACCCCCCCCCCCCCCATTTATATTGAGCTTTTGAAACACCAGGCACACAGACACACTTAAAAAAATATTTCCGGGGGTTATAATGCAACCCCTTTGCGATAATATAGCGTTGAATAAACTCTGTTTCCAATGTCCAAATAATTTAACTATTGACGATTTGTGAATTAAATCATTGGAAAATGTCTCTGAAATTGATCTAATTAAAATAAAATTCTGTTTTGATGGGATAGAAAATTAGTCAGTCAATAACTTTATTTCAATTTCTGATACTTTATTCCTGCAAACTTAATCTCGTTATTCGGTGTTTTACAAGTCGAACTTATGCATATGTATCCGTTGTCCATTCTAGTATTTGTGCTTTTTTTAAAGTCCCGTGCCTGCATTTTGATCAATTTGAATGTAAGAGCATGAACGAATAAAACTAGAAAAATTAAACATTGTTGAACAAATTTGAATTTAACTTCAACGAAATTTTCTTTGGTTATATTTAAGCATCAACTAGATATCATTGAGATGGTGGCCATCTCAAAGGGCCCCGCTTTCAGCAACGAAAATGAAAATGTAAGGTAGCTGAAAGGGTTTATTTTGAAGAGGAACATTTGTGTACTATTACGGGATGTGTTGTTTGAGTCTAAAGGGCTTCTATGTCATCCTTGTTATAATAAAAAATGGCACGAAAATCACAAGTGTTCCATACACTCTATCAAAAAATGGCTCAAAAATCAAGAATGTTGCATATCCTTTACAAATTGTTGCATATCCTCTATCAAAATATGGAAGGAAAATCACAAATGTTCCGTACCCTAATGGCCGGTTGCGTATCTCGGATTTAAACCTCCGATCAATGATTCCAGGTTTAAATCCAAGTTTACACGTTGCACACAGGTAAGGCTTGGCTGAGTACAGCTCAGAATTACGGTAAATTCTGAACCTGGTATAGGGGTGGTTTAAACCCAGCTTGATATCGTTTCCATGGATTTTTGGTAGAATATATTGATATTTTGAACTGTTTTGATGTTCCAGAAATGTTTTATGGTGACGATGATTGTATTGAAAGATTTCGCCATATTAAAAAGGCTATTCTACAAGAAATATTTTATGGTCATATTGAAGATTTTTTTGGCACATTTCTTCAATGTGTCGTTTTAAATAACACTGATGCAGCTGAAGTCTAAAGTTACTGGAAATTTTTAAATGGGAATTCTTTCGGGTACACAAATGTAAAATAACAAAAAAAGTTATATAAACTTTCTCATATACCAAATTTAAATCAAATTACGAATTTCACACTTTCAAACAATGCAAACAGCTGGTGATACACATTCCAATAGTTTCTAATAATGCCGAACCGAATTTCTTAGAAATTAAAAGTTTATTTTTTATCATTGTGTAGGCTATCCACATGGCCGTAGGACCGGGGGGGGGGGGGGGGGCTGCCCAGCCTTAATAATTTTGCCGATATATAGAATACTCTAGAAAATATAGCTAATGTATGATTGTGCCTTCTCAATAATAACGTATGATGACGTTTTGTTTGTTTTTTAATTTGCCTGTCAAGGATATTTGGGTTGTGCCCCACTACTAAAAATGTTTGGCTGTGCCCCCCCCCCCCCAACTGAAAATGCTTACGGCCTGATCCTTGAGAACATGACAACAAACTCACATTTATCAATACTTGTACCGAATTGAGTGTTTCACTGGATTGCTGGCTATATGAATAATGCCCAAATAATCTCTTTGTTACATTAGTTGTATATCAAACTAAACATTCTAAACAACTAAGTACTAATGGCTTGATATCTACAGAAAAGGTATCATTTGATATTAAATTGAAAATTTGAATTTATCCCATGTTTACCCCTTTATCCCGTGGATATAACTCATTGGATAATTTTTTCATAATCCACAGTTGTGACGTCACAATGGTTTTTGCGTTACCGCGATGAAGTAAAATAAAGTGGAGTCCTATATAAAACAGTGTAAAACATTGGTTGTGAAGTATTAAACATGGGATAAAAAGAATCTCCCATGATTTGTAGTTGGATATGACTTTTATCCAACTCGTGTGTTTTTATCCCCTCGCCAAGGCTCGGGGATAAAAAACACACAACTCGTTGGATAAAAATCATATCCAACTACAGATCATGGGAGATCCTATATATATACATTGTTCCTACCTCTGTCTTAAGTTTTGGTATTGTTTCTATTGTTACTTATTCCCAAGATCCCCCTACCAGTTTTTCCTCTCTTCAGTCTTTTGGAAAAGCTGTATTATGCTTGCCATTTCATATTTTCTTATGGTTTGAGTTTCGATGACAGATCCTGTGGTTTGAATTAAACTGTATTGCAGTTTTTTATGCATTTTAATTAACAATTTACCATCAATATATATCTTTGTTTTTAAATATATCCTTTCGAGATTCAACCAGATTTATCAAAAATGTTTGAAGAGCTGTAAAATTAGGAAACTTACTAGCCTTTAACAGTTTCATTTGAGTAAGTCAAGATTAGGTAAGCCTTACTCAGTTTTATAGCGTGCAACAGAAGTACGTCTCAAGTAAACCCGACTCAACTGGGGTTTAAACCCGGCTTACGTGATCCGCGGATCAGCGGCTGAGCCGTACTCATCTGAGCCATAGGTACGCAACCGGCCATAAGTCAATTGGTAAAGTTTGAGGCTGACTGACTTAAGAGAAAGGAATTATGCACCGAGCAAAGATTTTAAACAGATAGGCTATTTTTGACCTTGAACGTTGACCTAGAAACTTCGTTCAAAGTCACTGCACATCCATTTATCAATGGCACTCTGTGAGTGAAGTATGAGCCACATTGGACCAAGGGGAGAGAAGATATGCTCCAGACAAGGATTTTTCATATAATTCTGATATGACCTTAACCTTAGACCTAGAAACATGTTTCAAGGTCACTGCACACCCTTTACCCAAAGACACTCTGTGGGTGAAGTATGAGCCAGATTGGGCCAAGGAGGGAGGAGATATGCTCCGGACAAGAGATCTCAGACGGACGGACGGACGAAGGTCTTGCTTAGTTGTAAAGTGTTGATGCCCACTTCGCGGGTTCGTATGTGGAGACCGTTTTTTCGGGTGAATCCGAAGTCCTATGTCGCAGTGGTTGCTAACAAAAAGAAGATCCTGAGGCCTTACTGCTCAATGACTGTAAGTGCCGATTACAAGTCTAAATTTGCAGCCTTCTACCGGCATTTAGTGGCGTCCAACATGAGTGAAATATTCTCGAAGGGACGTAGGAGCAAACATACAAATAAAACTAGAGGCCATCTGAATGACACAATGAAAGTTTTATTTATGACTAACACTATCTGTGTGAATTTCAATTGTTTACCTTTTTTCTAAAATTCTGAGAGACGTTAAGTATTTACATTTGGCCCAAAAAAAGCAATCATTCAGACAAATTTAAATTATACAAGGATATATTTTATAACAAATTGGACTCTTGCTCTACGAAAGTTTTGTTTCTTTGTTTTTCTTTTGTTTGTTTTTATTTCTTTGTAATACAGTGTAAATGAAAAAAAAATACTTGATTCTTTATTGGATAATGATTACTCCTCTAGAAGTGTAAATATGTATATGTAGCTGTATATTATTGAGATAAAAAGATTTTTTTTCAGATTTTTCCATCCCTTCCCGGAGTAGGGACGAGGACAAATATTGTCCAGAAAACAAATGTTTCGAATCCACCGTAGCACTGAAAAGAAGAAATCTATTTTTCTTATATATTGTCAGAGTAAACATTTGAATCTTTTTATGTGGATCCGTCCCTGCCCCTGGAACCATTTTTTTAAATTGAATTTTACTACATTAGAACTTGCATATCAAGTTTGACAATTTGGAGCCTTATAATCCTCGAGGAGACGATATTATGGATTTTTCCCCGATTCATTTCTATGTAAAACTTGGAATTTCCTGTACGGTGATTCCGAGGAGCCTTTCACTTTAGAAAATATGGTTTATTGCTATTATCTTTTGCTAATGAAATATGGAGATAACGAACAGTATTCAAGCCCAAAATTTCACTCAAACAATACAAATCAGGAGCAGAGAAAACACAGACCTCTAAAACATCAGAGGTGCGATCAGGTGCCATGGGGGGAGTAAGCATCCCCTGCCGACCGGTCACACTCGCCGTGTGCTCCTTGTCATGATCGGGAAAAACAATGTAGAATTAGGTGATTTTACCTGACAATGGATTTTTATTTGGCAAAACCTGAGAAATGACACTATTAGTGGTATTTCTTGCACTATGTCATCATTATACAGGATAGTGATAATCTGTAAACCAAGTATTATTCGGGAGAACTTTTACTGAGCCAGACTGAAATCCTTCTGCGACTTTAAATGGAGGTACTCTACAAAAATAGACAATAAATTGTTCACGGTGGAATATTCAGGCATAGACGAGGATCACAAACTTTCGGATATTTCTAGCACGCGAATAAAACTTGGTAAACATTATCCCGATCGGAATATATACCCTAATCGGAATATATTTACGTACTCCGACCGACTGGGATTATTTTTCATTTTCGGAAAATATTTTAAAAATTCTTACGAAAACGTCTTATGTCCTCGCCCCATCAGATAAGAGCTAAAATGTTTTCAAAATATTGCGGCGTCAAAATTAGCCAAATAGTAAGCATCCATATGTTGTGTAGATGCAATGGCCCCCTCGGCAAGGACTGTGCAATAACTAGGGAACAAAGTTTTATACGGAAAGATATTGACATTTAAAAGAACAACATGATGTAAAGTTTTGTTTGTTTTTTTTGCTTCAGTATACTGTAAATCAAAATTATTGAAATCATGGACATAGATTTTGTCACCACAATTTTCCTATATCTACTTAATCAGAATGGCGACTCAGGCGAGTCCTCAGACCTCTTATTTTATGCCCCCTGCGCTTAAAAAGCGGGAGGCAAATAGTGATCGGGGTGCCCGCCCGTCCATTACATTATGTCCATGTCCGCAACTCGTTTGACAGCACTGAATCGAATTTCATAAAACTTTCACGAAATCATTATTACATATTGGCATTGTGCATCTCCTATTTCACGTTTCGATCGAACAGATATTGGTGTTTTCCATAGCAGATCGTGGACATTGCCATTCTTCCTATAACATTTGGATGTACCCATCTTTTATCCGCAACGCCTCCTATACCACTGAATAAAATTAAATGAGGCTTTCATAGAATATTTATAAGATAATGCCTTTGTTCACCCCCTGTTTTACGTTTCATTTTAAGTTTCGATTGGACACATATTTGGGGTTTAAATCCCAAAAAGCAAAACATGGGCTTTGCCATTATACTCGATGTACCCGCAACTCCCCCTAACCCCTGAATGAAATTCAATAAAATTTCAGAGAATCTCGTTTACATACTTAATTCCAATAAAAGTACTTTGCCATTGTACTCATATGAGAGCGGGGATATCATTTTGTGAGCTCAGTGTTCACAGTACGTCTATTTTTTTACTGTATGGTTTTAAGGTTTCTTAAATATATCACACAAATATATGTACCTGGCATCAAATTAAAATAACTCTCATTTGTTTATACTCATGGTGTGATAAAGATACATTGTTCCCAGTGATGTGTTATCATTGTCATTAAACCAGCAAGTTCGTATCAAAGGTCTTCGTGACAGAAAGTGATTGAAACAAAGTATGCTATTACCAATACATTGTAGTAACTATCTTTATGACGGATTACTCACATAAGCCCTGTATTTAGCTTTTTACCGGTACTGGTATGTAAATAGCTAGCAACACGAAAGTCTAGTAATCAGAAAGAAAATGTACTGCAATGTAAGATCTGTAAATTAATATCATTACCCTCTACAAAAAACACTTTTCAGTATGTACTGCATAAGCTATAAGTCATCATCCAAACTCGATACTTCAGTATGCTAATCACTGGTATTTAGTATTGCAACAACTAACAGTTTATTTACATTTCATCATTTACGAGGGCTCATAAGTAAGAATACAACATACATGCATCTTAATTAAAAAAAAAAGACTTAATAATAATTTCAATATGAAGAGGCCTACGCACGCTAACTCTCGATTCCTGCTATTGTTTTTACACACGCATATTTCAACATCCTTGGAAATTTTGTCATTAAGTTTTTTCAGTATAGTAACTGATTGAAAATTCTAGCACAAGTGTCAATTAATTATTAATTACAACTTTTTTTGATAAAAGGGTACACCTAAAAGAAATCTATGAAATCAGACTTTAAAACGTCACAGGATTTTAAAGTACTACTGGATATTGATAAATAGCCACATAATCTGTCAATTTACATTATATTACTGAGTAGAAAATACTAAGTCTACATTTTCTTTTTATTTGATAACCTGTAAAATGCCTTGGACTGTTTTTCGGTCACTGAAGGTCACACAACTATATCAGATGCCTGGGACTCTATAAAAGACACGGAGAGTATCATAAGGAAAATTATAGTTCATTATGGCTGAAACTTTAACAGATTGGGTCTTTTTTTTTTAATTTCGTTTTAGACAAGGACTGATCACTGGAAAAAATTATATGAATTATGTTTTATAGATATAGGCAATTGATCCCTTATATATTAGAGTCATTATAATACTGACCAGTCATGGTATACAGATAGAAACAATATGTTTAACTTACGTTAAATTTACATTATTATATTCTTACACTATCAGCGGTGTCCATGCATGTAAGTACATATTTAGAGCTTATATCCTGAAAATCGGGTAGTGTTTTTATACAATACTAAGAATCCTTGGAATTCTCAATGGTTTAAATTTTTATGATCATTAAAAAGAAGTCTATATGGCGTCTAAAAAAAGAATTACTACATGTCTCTTGGAAACTTAATATCGTGTGGGAAAAAAAATCTGAAAACTGCTGCTCTAGCACGTCTACAAAAACTAAATTGTTGTAGCCGGTAAATGCCATCTATTGAAAGCTATGAGAAGGAATAGAAATTAACGCCCATTTAGATGTGGATGCTACATTCTATTCCCTCGAGAACTCATGATAAAAGTTGCATCTAAATCTAAAGAAAACTGTTTTTGTACTTCAATCACAATCTATGCCTGCAAGACAAAGACAATTTGTAACATTTAACATCGAATTGACATCTTTAATTTAGATCCCACGAAATAGAGTAACAACTCTTTCTTGGATTGATACGGATATAAAACCTTGAAATCAGAAAAAAAAATACTGATGTGCAAAGAAAACTCTTAATCATTCTCTCGTTTTGACATAGCTGGAGTTTCCAATTCTCTTATCTTCTTTCTGGAAATTCAATAGTCTTGTTTTTGACAGAATTTATCATTTCCTAAGAAATGCGTATGATATAACGGTCTGTACCAATATCTACAATTCATTCTTTATAGTTTACAGAAATTGACAAGTACATAATTTTATGCATTATGTATTTGAATGGTGTTGCTCCTTCAACTCGTTTTACGCAAAGGCAGTATTAAATAATAGCAATTCTTTTGCAGTTAAGAGTTGCAAAAAGTAAAACTCACAATATAATTCATATGAACATAGACAATTTAAAAAATATATTCTTCAAAAACACAATGATAAAGTTACATTCAGTAGCTAGGCCTTATCAAAATCAGTTCATCAATCTTAAAGAAGGATTTACTAGTCTAGACTTGTTTATATCTATCTTGGAAATATATCACCTGATAATTTTTGCGGTACAGTTCTGTATAATGTCTGCCATAAGATTCAAGCAAACATATTACAATGAATAAAACAATATCTTTAGAACACTGTGAACCGAGTTTTCATTTATAAACTACATATATGTTGTTTTAAACAAATCTGTTTCATCCTCACTTCTTTAACAAATTAATATTGCAGGTTGTTCGAAACGCACCCTGATGTTCAAGACGTGTTCATGCCATTCAAAGGTTTGTCGCAAGACGATCTCCGACACAGTTCACAACTTAGAGAGCATGCGCTAAGGGTTATGGGGACTGTTGAAAAATGCCTGGCAAGAATCAATGAACCGAAAAAGATGGAGGAAATGCTCCATGACCTAGGGACAAGACACGTGATGTACAGCGCCAAAGTGGATTATGTTGACGTAAGTAGATATGGCCGGACTGGGTGACCATGTGATGGTTACATACATGTAGAGCGATTTCTTACAATTCAGTACTTAAATTTTGATTCTATATAGATGTTAGTGGAACCCAGTGACTAGTTGACACTCCTTCCGACGATTAGAAATCATCCTATTCATATAAATTTTATTTATTCTATTCCTGTTTGTAAGTATTGCATTTTTCTTTACCCGGATGTAATAATCGAATGAAATTTTACATTTCTTACTTATTACTCTAACGATATGGAGTTGAACTGCTTGTAAACAATCCACCTGTCATGCATGCAAATATCATAATTAAAAGAAAATACTCCCATCTTTTACCCCAGATTCAATCGTTTCTATTTATTTAACAAATCTCTCAAAAAAAGCAAGAGAATTCGGGGAAAAAAAGTGAAGTGTCTAAACTCTGTATAACCGTTATCTTACGATAAAATACAGCTGTTGTTATTAAAAAATGTGAGAAATATATCAATTTGACAAGTTTTTCTCCAACTTTATCTTGGGCTTTACATGTTTTTGTTGTTCATCTCTGAACAACAGAATGTGGTTTGCAACGTCACAATCTTCATTTTTTTTCGTAAATGTAGTCTCTTAAAGAAGGAGAGCAGCATCACAGATGATGGACGCTGTTTCCTCCGAAGACAAGCTTAACCCATCAATATTTATTTTGCAGCCTGAGCGGACTAAATGAAAATCCTGTCAGAATCTTCCGTTACCGAATGTTAAACATCTAAAATGAGAACTCTAATGGGATATCTTTGCAATTACCAAGTCATTATTATCCTAAACGACATTGTCTTTCCGACAAATCGCGTTATATTCATATTGTACAGACATTTTGAAAAATTATTAATCTTTTATATGCTTGTAAAGTGGGATTTTCTGAGGTCCATGTAGCTAGGCCCTTGCCTATATAGTAAATTATAAGGTAGCAGTTGCAAACAAGCTGTAATTAAGCTACGTTGCAATGAGATATCAGCTAGGCACACTTTTTTTTGAGTTCGATTTTTGCTTGTCTTTGTTAAAGCTAGAATAATTCTATGTCATTGTTTAAAAAGCGCAAAATTATTTTTGCAAAGATTAAATGCTGTAAATAAGGTTCTGTAAAACTGCAATGTAAAGAACACTAAAATTTGTCCCAGTTTAATCTTATCGTAGATAGAGTGATAAGCATGATCTCAGTTTTTGATTTAGAGCCAATTTTGTTTAAAATGACTGATAAATAAATGTACATATAAGACATAAACCTATAGTCTTTGCATTACACAATACCTGGTCAGAAATATCTGTTTAGTAAATTCATTAATCACACAATAATTAAACAGCTTCATTCTAGCTTTAGGATTAGTGTAATGTTGGGATATAATATGTCTGGAACAATAACATTAATATCACTCTAGTCATTCCAATTTCTAAGCTTATCATTATAGAAACTATAGTTATAAAAAACAAAACTTCTAAATGAGTAATGAAAGAATTATGCCCCTTTCCCCTAAATATAATAATAAAAAAATCTTAGAATCAGCGGTGAAGTAAGAATTGTTAAATATCCGCAAAGCAAAGAAATTTAATATTTTGCAAAAACGCGATAAAAAATCTTTTCAGGCTTACATGGAGCGAAAGATTAAGTTCAACGGATTGAATCAAAACCCTCAAAAAGGAAATTTTCATGTAAAGTAACAAGAAATTATCATTTGTGGTCTTTTCAATACTGACTAGACAAAAATTTTCAATGAATACCTACAGTCACCATGATCTTGGAGGAATACGTTTTATTTCCATTAGTAAACTCTTCAAAATTAGAGGCGCGTTTGGTCATCTTACTGGGACAGCATGGCGTTGCGAACAATACAAAACATGCCAATCTCAATCCAATTTTAAATGTTAAATGTATTTGTCATTCCAATTAAAGAATAGAAGAACTAAAAGACATATGTAAGAGAGCGAGAACCCTAAATTTATCATCCATTAATTAAAATACGATATTTCCGAGGCATGTGTATTGTATTTAGATGTACCATACGATAAATAGATACATATACGATCAACAATGGATATAAATTGATATCGTTGTCATTCCTACTCTTGATGTATATAAAGTCCACAACAATAAAATATTTCATTTGCATTTTCTTAGGAATTGTTCAGCGACATTCAACATATGTAAACACGAAACGCCGAAATGTCGGGTTTCTGCCGAAATGTAAGTAGAATGCGCCGAAATGACCGATGAAATACTGCAATGACTGTGGATATCAATTGATACGGATACTAATACCCCAAAAACATAAACTTTTTGAGGTCAATCCTTACCCCTAAGGTTTTAGAGCCCATTTTATCGTAAATATTGGAGGAAGTCAGCCGCCATTGACGGGCTTCATAGTATACCGTATACCACGCCCGATTGTTTTTTTTTTTTAATCCGCTTTGTAATAAGTAATATGTCAGTCTCGTATTACGTTTTTATTTAAATTGTAAATGATATATACCTTATTAAAAAAAATAAAAATTAATGAGGATGTTGATCATCAGGATAATATGAATATTAGAATATTAGCTAAGAAAAAAAAATAATATTAAGTATTAAAACTAAATAAATAATAATAGAAAAATTTATAACATAAGTTTCTTATTAAAAATTTTTGACTTAATGTTAGAAAAAAATTGTACTTTTAGATTATCAAATATTGAGATAGTTAGCCGTTTTTAAAATAGACTTTAAAAAAGAAAAGTCTGATTACGTTGCCCAGCTCTTGCCACGTGGAGGCCACCCCAAATACATGTAAGAGCCATAATTTTAAATTTGAAAAATAAATATTTAAAAAAAAAAAAAAAAAAAAAAAAGACAGACAGAAAATGGAAAATTAACCCCTAAAGAAAAGCCAAACAAACATATTTTGGATATCATTTGGGGAAAAATAAAAATATTGTTATTTTCCACTTAAACATTTAATCTTTTTAGAAATGAATGAGAAAAATAAAGAAAATTTGTTAAAATGAGTTGGAAAAATTGGAATTAGAGCTTAAAAAAACATGGAAACTATAAAGGAATACATACACAAAGAACACCAAAACTTTGTAAAATGCATAAAGCTAGGTTATTTGGTCAATAGCATTTTATAAAAGATTGAACTAAACAATAGCACATAATATGTTCATTAAAACTTAATTAAAACCAATGAAAACCATAGGAATTACTAATAATACTAAGGATGAGATTGTATTTGGAGAACTGTCAAACACAACGCCCTACCAGGGCCCAGACTCAGTTCCCCAATACACAATCTTTTTCAAAGATACATAAAACTTAATATACATGTCTTATAAGGAAGTGAAAACAATTAATGAGAATTTAGGAATTAGTTTATTTACTAGATGTAAAAATACTGTAAGTTAAACAATGTAAGATCAGTGAATTGGAATTCAGATTCATATTACTAGGTCAGGTGTATATCACATGTATACAAATTATACCATGTGTGAACCAAACAGGTGTTTAAACAATAGGAGTCGACTGTACCACCAGGTCCAGGTGTCAGTAAGTGTATACACAAGATGCTTCCCTGTGTGTAATTGAAGATGCCTGACTTGTATCAGGTTCACTAATGATTTTTAATGAAAGGGGAACAACATATACAGTAAAGGCAGGGACCTATATACTTAGTATATAGGTCCCTGGTAAAGGCAAATGGCAGAAGATTTATAAGATTAAACTAAATTCAATATGTAAACATATGTATTTATATAGTTAAAAGCATTTTTAAGAAACAAAAACGTGAAAACGGAAAATACATGTACGCCTGCCGAGAAAATCTATACGCCTGCCGTGTTATTTATCGAATTAATTTGTATTTTGTTAGATATATTACTTTTATAGACCATGTAGTTGATGTTTTACCAAACAAAAATAATTTAAAAAGCACAGTTTGGAGTTTTAATTCGTTTTAAAGTTTGCATACTTCGTAGAGCACGCCTGCCGAGAAAATCTAAACGCCCGCGGTGTTGTCTCTCTAATTTCTTATTATACAATATTTGATATATTACTTAATAAAGTATTTGGTTAACATTTGACAAAACATTAATTCAAAAAATATTTTTTTTAATATTTGATTCAATAAATTAAGCGTTTGATACGAGAGTTAGCAATATTAAAGGAGATAACTCTTACTTGACAATAGGAACTGCTGTGTATAAACCACGTACCTCGTGTTTTTCTTTCTTTCTTTCATTTTAATAAAAACTTAAGGTATTTGATTTCATATTCGTTTACAGAATTACGAAGGCTCAGGAGCACATGTGCACATGTCAGTTAAAGCTATGCGTTTTACGGGTAGTCGTTTTGAATCAGAATCTGAAATATTCAATGTTGTCCTTTTTTAACATCAATGTATAATTATTATTTCAGGTTATATGCAACAAAGTTATATTTAAATAAATACAAAATATTACAGGTAAGAGAAAGGTAATAATTTAGGCTATTCCTATACAACCATCTATAAGTCTAGCAGAGAAGGAAATAGATAAAATGAAAAACAACATGTACATATATTTGACATGTACATGTACATACGAAATATCTTTATCAGTCATTCTACGATAAAAGGACCAATTCAGGGTATAAAACCTGGAAAAAAAATAATTGTTTTAAATAGCAAAATGAACATCATAATTCTCTAAAGAACATATCAGTTAACTTAAAAAAAAAAATATTCACAAATCGGCTATATATCGTTAACGTTTTACAATTTCAATATAACATTGATTTCAAGGAATGTTACGGAAGTTAATGCTTGAACAAGTCTTATTATTTTTTAAATAAAGCTGATTTTGAACAATTTTTGTTTTCTGGTGTTCAGTATATGTCTGAAATGATATGGATGTCTGAATTTATGTTTACTGTGTATACACAGACTGTAAATCTCAATGAAAATTATCGATCTTCATGTATACCCGACAAGTGCGTAATATTATGTGGT